CCACCCTGCCCCTGCCTCACGTGGCTCCAGCCACACTGACCTCCCGTCCGGCAGCCTCGTTGTCTCTGTAGCCGCTGTCCCTTCTGCTTGGACGACTCTTCCCCAGAAGTCTGCACAGTTAGCTTTCTCAGAACCTCCGGGTCTTGACTCAGTTGTCACCTCCCCCAGGAGGGCTTGATTACTCTAGTTAGAAATTGCCTCAGACACCCTCCTCACACCCCCCCAATCCTTCCCTCTCCTTACCCCCTTCCCTGATTTATTGTTCTCCAAAATACATATCATCATCAAACATACTATATCTTTTGTGTATCTTGTTTATTAGTCTTCTCTTCCTGAATGGTGGCTTCAAGAAGGCAGTAATTTTTTTTTTTTAACTCCTTACCCGAGGATATATTTTTATTGATTTTTAGAGAGAAAGAAACATCACTGTGAGAGAGAAACACAGACCGGTTGCCTCCCCTACATGCCCCCATTGGGGGATCGAACCTGTAACCTAGGGATGTGCCCTGACTAAGAATCGAACCTGAAACCTTTTGGTGCACAGGATGATGCTCCAATAAACTGAGCCACCAGCCAGGGCAAGAGGACAGGAATTTTTATTTTCCTTTTGTTCGTTGCTGTATTTCCAGTGCTTAGAACAGTGCTTGTTATATAGAAAGAGCTCAGTACATATGTATTTGTTGAAGCAATAAATCAAAATGTGCATGCAAGCAGCCCAGGTCCAAAGAGGCGCATTTTACCAACGTTGTTTTCTGTCTCCTCCCAGGACACCCATTGGGGTCACTCCTCTCCCTCTGGGCTATGGCGCCACTGAGTCAGCTGAGTGGCCACATCAACTCCACCTGTGGGGCAGACAACTCCACGGGGGCCAGCCGGGCCCGCACGCACGCCTACTATGCGCTGTCCTACTGCTCGCTCATCCTGGCCATTGTCTTTGGCAATGGTCTGGTGTGTGTGGCTGTGCTGAGGGAGCGGGCCCTGCAGACCACCACCAACTACCTGGTAGTGAGCCTGGCTGTGGCAGACTTGCTGGTGGCCACCTTGGTGATGCCCTGGGTGGTATACCTGGAGGTGAGTGAGCCCAGGTTCGGGCTACGCATGTGACTGTTCCTGTCCTTGTGTTCCCTGAGCTCCTGGCCTTCTGGGCTCAAAATGTTCCCTGCTGTGATCTGGGGACTGGAGAAGGAAGGACAGCCCCTGTCCTCCTCCCTTTCATGAGGGACGGGAGGTCTTGAGAGCAGCCACTCCCCAGCATCACTTGCCGACATCAGATCCAGGGAGCTGGGAATGATTCTGTTCCCGGGGCTCCAGTATCCAGGTAACCAGACTTGAGTGATGGGGCTCATCCTGAAAATGCACCAGGTTTACTCTCCGTGACAGGCGTGTCTCAAAGACGTGAGCAATTGGGGGAGGCAGTCCAGCAGGCACCTTCATCAGTGTGTCAATGCACATGAGGCTGAGAACGCGCAGGAGGGATTTGGGACAAGGTTGGGGGGAGCAAAAGGGATTATAGAAAAAAATTTAATGAATGAGAGAAAAAGGAGAGAAAGAATAGCCTGTAAACAGATGAGGCTTCCTCAGATGGTTCAGTTGCCCTCAGAGTTGGTTCTTTCCTCCTGGATATCAACTCTCCACAGACTGCTCCCAAAGGAACAGACCAAACCTCCAAACTTACATATGTGTATTTCTTTTTTTAAAAATATGATTTTATTGATTTGAGAGAGAGAGAGAGAGACATCGATGAGAGAGAAACATCAGCTGGCTGCCTCCTGCACGCCCCCTACTAGGGATCAAGTCCTAAACCGGGGCATGTGCCCTGACCAGGAATCGAACCAGTGAGCTTTTGGTGCATGGGACCATGCTCAACCAGCTGAGCCACGCCAGACAGGCCTAAATTTGTATTTTTGATGCCTCCCTTAATAGCACAGAGCCCTCACCAATCAGATAATGCAGCAGGCCCTGCAGAATTCTTTTGGAGAAGAAACATTTCTTAAATATGAAAGTATTTTCATTCAAAAGTGCAAAAGCAGAGTCAGGAGGTGATCAAGACACAACATCCACTTGCTAACAAAGAGATTGGGGTGCCTATACCTGTTCAAGAAACAGATATTCTCACCGGGAAAACATGCAATTTACTAAAGAGCTTTTTAAGGCATCTTGATATACTATTAATATTTCTCCTCTGCACTGTGCATCATTCTAAAGAGGTATCCAATGAAGGATCAAAATGATGCTATGATTAAGAGAAATTAAAATTCATCAAATTAATATCTCAGTTAATATTAATAGTCAAGATGACAGTTAATTAAGTATGACATATCACAGGAGAGCAGAAACTTCGAACATAGACTGCCTAGGCTGGTTTTTGTATTAAAGAATGACTGGAAACTAAAATTAGACTCATGATCTCAATAGGGAGACATAGAAGAAAGAAAATAAAGAAGAAAAGGAAAAGATGGAAAACAAGCGGTGTGATTAGGAATAGATTTAATGGCTAAGGCAGCCACTTTCAACCTCTTTCATCTCATGGCACACATAAACTAATTACTAAAATTCTGCGGCACACCAAAATAAATATATTTTTGCCAATCTGACAAAAAAAAAACAGGCATAATTTTGATTTATTTACAAAAAAAATAACCCACCAATATTAAATACCTATCCTTTTTGCTCCAAAGTGACTTTTTTAAAAATCAGGTGCCTATACTTGTATATAAGTATTTCTGGGACCAAGAATTAACCAATCACACACAACTTTATTATGTTATATGACCAATAAGATGTGACCTCTATATTTATGGTTCAAGACAGGGCATTCACACCAGATGGCTATTGTTGTGTTGGCTGTTGTCATTTTTTTATTTGGCAATCTAAGGGAAAAGAGTTCAGTGCCCCTGGCTAAATTGGTATTGCATGTTTTAAAATCCTTGCAGCACACCAGCTGAAAATTGCTGGGCTAAGGGAATACTCAGAGGAAAAAATATGCATTTATTCTTTGCAGTTAGGATAATCCTGACGACAAAGGGTCTTGTAATTATCTTGACTTTTCTGTCATCCTAATTAGGCTGAGACAGCCTTGAAGTCAGGAACAATATATTTGTTCTTTTTTTCCTGTAGTCCAAACACACTAGCTGGCACATAATATGTGCTAAATAAATATTTGCTATATGAATGATTAAATGAACCTGTTTTGCATTGTCTGCATTAGATGGTCAATTCCTGCTTATATCAGTTGCTGCTGTGTCTATTGTAACAATGAACTATTTCTTTTACATTCAATAATAATGAGACTGGAAAGGAGTTAAAAGCATGTGATATCTCTGTTCAAAAGTGAGGCAGACTTTAGGTGCTATAACCTAGTATGGATTAGTCAATAATTCATAATACGACCATCCCCCACCAAGGTGTTTCTGTCCATCCCTATGCCTTACAAGGATTCTTAAGTCTTCCAGAAAGATGAATGTCAGAAACAAATGCAGGAAGAGGACTTTCAGTCTAATAAGCATTTCAATGGCCCCTGAAATAAAACCCAGCTTCCTGTGTCTGTAACAAAGTCGTTCAGGAGCACTCTTTGCCTGTCCATTTGTGATTGCTTCCAGGACTACGGATGGGCCATATTGGAAAATCTCTCTCTATATTGGTATAAGAGATGTACATTGTGACTTTTCGACACTAGATACCATGGCAGCCCCTTATAGCCACACCTGCCAAAAAAGATAATGCCCCTTCTACTGCTGAACATGAGGGCAACTGAGGCATGAAATCTTGCCAAAGTCTCAGTGAACACTCTGCAGGTTGGATCTACGTGTTTTCCCCTCTGAGAAGAATTCTGGTGGAGCTCTTGGTCTCCCCCCATAGGAACCAATATGCCTTCTTTCCAACAGGTTATTTGGTATAGGTGTTCAATAATCAAGAGCATGGTCCAATAATCATATAAAGAAGATTTCAGACAGCAGAGACATCTCTCCACTGAGAAATGGGCTTTAGCACCTCAATTTGGTCTTTCCCACTTGCTTCAAGGCTCTACTCAATGCAACTTAATATCTCCGCATTGCTTCCTCCAACAGCCCACTCAGGGGCCATGTCAATAAAAGATAGAATATAACTTAAAGTAGACATCACTAACAGGTTAATATAGTCGAAGGTTCTAGTCCAAAGGACCAGGTCTCCTTATTCCACCCCAGTATATACTTTTTTTAGTCTTAAATACCTGCCTGCTTTCTGCAGCCCTCAGGAGCAGATGCAGTACCTTAACAAGAGAAAAGAGCACTTTGAGCCCTTAAAGGCCTTCTTAACAGCACTGTGAATATATAAATCCATGTGCTCTCACTAACTTGTCCTAATGATCGCTCAGTTTGAGTAGCTGGTCTAGTAATTGCATGATTATACCTAAGAGCTCCCTTGGAAAGAGGAAAGGATGCCATGTGGACCACAGAGACTGCTGTAAGCTTGAGGGGCCCTGATATGATAGGACAGAAATGAGAAGAACACTATGAGGGGAGACCAAATTAGCTGCCCAATTCACAGCTTCCTGTGCTCTGATTTGAATACATCCATCTTCTTTGAAGGGAATACTGGCTCATATTTGCCAGATACCTTCCTTAAAAGAAAAATTGGCTCATTTTGCCAGACATCAGTATGTATGAGTTAGGAATGTTTGGGCTGTAAATATTGAAAATTTTGACTGATTGTGGCTTAAACAAATAAGAGCTACTTTTCTCACATAACCATTCTGGAGGAAGGCAATTGCTGCTGGTTCAGCCCCATGGTATCATCAAGAACCTTCCTGTTTACCATCCGTGGCGAGCTGGCTTACTTCATGCTACTCACAGGATGGCTGCACAGCCTCAGCATCACAGCCGTATTAAAAAATAAGATAGGTGGGGCTCTGAATGGGTGGCTCAGTTGGTTGGAGTGCTGTCCCATGCACCAAAAGACAGCGAGTTTAATTCCTGGTCAGGGCACATACCAAGGTTTCACGTTTGATCTCCAGTTGGGGTGTGTACTGGAGATCGATGTTTCTCACTTAACATTGATGTTTCTCTCCCATGCTCTCTTGCTCTCTCTCTCTCTCTCCCCCTTCCTTTCTCTCTAAAAAATCAACAAAAACATATCCTCAGGTGAGGATTTAAAAAAATAAGAAAGGTGGGACTGCAGAAAAAAAAAGCCATTTCCCTGGTGTCTCGAAACTTCTCCCTAAGGGACTTCACTTAAGTCTAATTGGCCAGAAATGGATCATAAAGCCACTTTTAGCTGAAAGGGACAACAGAGAAAGTGAAAATGTGGATTTCATTTAAAAAGATGTGGAGCCCTGGCCCGTGTTGTTCAGTGGTTAGAGAGTCGGCCCCCACACAGAAGGGTCTCGGGTTCGATTCCCAGCCCCAGTCAGGGCACATGCGGGAGGTAGCTGGTCGATGTGTCTCTCTCACATTGATGTTTCTCTCTCCCTCCCTCTCTCTCTCTCTCTCCCTCTCCTTCTCCTCTCTCCCTTCCTCCCTTCCATTCTCTCTAAAAATCAATGGAAAAAATATCCTCAGTTAAGGATTAACAACAAGAAAAAAGAAGTGGAGGTGAGGAATTGCTGTGCAGTAGGCAATAAAATGTCACATATCACATCACATCGTGCTTCTGATGGAATTCACTGGGATGAATGTCATTCTAACACAGTCATGCTTTGAGACAGGCTCAGAAATTGGAGTTAGAAGATGTGGGAATTAAGTGATTAAAATGGAGGTGACAACTATGCTTTTCTTATCTCATAGGATGTGTGTTAGGCTCAACTGTCATCCACTGAGGAAGTGTTTTGATAACTAAAATGTGTAATCTATAAATATCTCAGTTAAGACACTTTTAGTTGTACGTAAAAGGAAATTTAACTCCAATTGACTTAAACAGTAAACAGAATGCTTTGGCTCTCACACCGGGAACTTCTGGTGGGAAGGTGGACTGCAGGCACAGCTGGAACAGGGGCCCATCTCCATTTCTCTACAACTCCCTCAGCTCTGTCTTTTTCCATATATTGGCTTTATCCATAGGCAAAGGGCAAGCTATAAGCCTCCCATCTGCACAAC